TACATTACTTTGTCCAGATCTAATACAGGTAGGTCAGAAAATTAGATTTCTATTTTCCTATGAAAAAGTGAAAACTATATATCTAGTTCCATCCACCGTCTACACTCAGCATTTCACACAATCTCCAAGGCTAACCGAGGCCTATCGGAGAAGCTACATTCGATATAGATCATTTTTATTGTCATCACAGTGCCAGTAAATGCAGGCGAGCAGAAATGACGTCTGCTCTATTTCGACAGCATCCCAGGAGCTATCAGGTTTTTTTTTTTTACTGGATCCCCATAAACCTGTGTCAACATTTCCGCCCCAACTCTGACGAGCCCAACTGGCAGTTAAAGGACAACAACCTGCTGGCGTTGTTAATGAAGGAAACAGTATTAATGTAGTTACCGCTTATGCTGTGTGAAAGATGGTGGGGGAGGCATTGGGGTTATAATTAGTGAAAGATTCTGCAATAACTGGCTGTGTCACGCTTCATCAGTTGGCCATTGCACACTGCCATGTCCTCTGCTTTAACCTTGCCAGTACAGTCAGCGGGCCGCTGAACAGACACAGCAGTAGTAGTTGGCATGGAACTGAGAGCAGTTTTTATCATTTGAAAACAATGAAAGGCCGTTCAGCGACAGTCGTGGTAATAATCCTTTACTATCTGTTCCTGAAGCTGCCTCAGTTTAATCTTTTTCTGAGCTATTAAATCAATTTATGTTAAAATAAACATGTTTTTCATCTGTAAAAAGTCTTGTATGTCAGAACCCATAAAAGAGTCTGGGCGTGAATGATGGCTCTGGAACAAATTTAATTTCTAAACTTTTTAGTTACAACATATTTACCATCCTTTTGTTTATACTGTATATGCTGAAGTGCATTTTAGAAGCCAAATTTGAACAATTTCTACTTTTATTTATTTATTTATAGAACTTAGTTTGACTTTTGTAAAGCTTATAGTCTACAACAGAACTACATTATCAAACTACATTACAGTTTGAACAAACGTAGCTAATGTAAAATGCATTCTTAAGTGTGCAGTTCTATATGGATTTTTACTTTATAATAAATTAGTAACTGCATGAATGAAATCATTTGTTTAAGTTGAACTTCATTTATTGCAACCGAGTGTCATTATAAACCATTCCATTACGGTCATGTCTTTTAGAGAAAGCAGCCCCCCTGCCCCCTTTTTCTTTTTTTCATTTCATCTAAATATCTAAATCTAGCCACCATAAGGAAAAAATGCACACTCCTGATATAAACACTGACTACTTACAGAATGAAACAGTTCAAAGGGATTCTGCAGAGCCTTGGGTCTAACATTCATTAGTTCCTTATCATATCGTCTTGTAACGCTGAGTCGACTAAACAATGTCAGAAGCAATCTGTTCCGTCTGTCAGCAAATTTCCTAAAAAACTGCAGTTGAAAGAGTCTGTGTGTTCTGGAAGCCTCTATTTTAAAAACATCTCCCAGAATTACCCTGCATTTAAGCACCTGCAGGTGTTTCCTTTAAAAAAAACCCTCCATTTTGAAAACAAGAATCTAAAGCACTGCACAGATGAAAGCCACTCTTTCTCTGGGTCAGGTGTCCATATTCCCTCTCTTCAACACTGCTGTACTGTATATGGACTATAACCACAGTATCATCCTAATTTTCACATGCATTTAAAATGGATTTTTTTTCCTGAGTAGATTTTCTTTGAGTCCAGAACAGTGTGATCCTCCTTGACCCGTGTCTATTTATAGAACTGGGAATATTCATTACAAACACACGTGCTAACAAAAATCCATATCAGGTCATGCATGACGGCCTGATGTTTTTCCTTTTTTTTCCCACCCTCAGGAAGAATATTATTCATTTTAATAGAGACACAAAAGATTCACTTACCGTTCTGGAAGTGGCACAAAGATCTTTCCGGAGAAAGGAGAGGTGCTTTCACCGATCCAGCCTGGAATAGAAAAGGGAGAGTCTTGTGTAAGGGCGCATGTTGTATATAATTCCACAAGGATGATATGATCAGCTGCCTGTCTACATCACAAGTAGTATTCCTAAATCCTGTTAGTACAATAGAAACTGGAGAAGAAACACGAGAGAAGAAAATTCAAAAAGGACAGATGGGTGGAATTTTTTTTTATTTGTGGCTGAGCAACCGTTATAAACACATGTAAAACAAATTCACTCAAACAATGTGGAGCCACAGTGGCCTTGACTACTGAAGAGAAAATCTATGATTACGATGGTTGTTTCTTTTATTTGTGTTGTTTTTTAGGGAACTTTATGCCCTTCATCATGGCTCCCAGGCATAAATTAGACTCTGATGTTATCATGTCCAAGATTATGATGCTTACTCTGTGTGTTATCGAGGTGAGGTACTAATGTACAGAATGTTAGATCTGACCTAGGCCAAGAATCAAGGTACGTCACATTGCAGGTTATTAATTTACTAATTAATTTAAATATCTAATCTAGCAACTGAATCATGGCATTGCTTTAATATATTAAGTAACAATGATAAAATAATAACAGTAACGCAGTAGTCTGAGGCCAGCATCAGAACTGAAAGTCTATTCCTCAAACTGCTGACCTACTGGTGCACAACCCCCTCAAGTCTTGACAGAGAAATGTCTAAAATGAATAAAGTTTGCAGAGAGTGAGAGTTCTCAGAATGAAAAACAACCTCTACAATCACTGAGAGTCAGAGTAGACAAGTTCAGGATGATATGAGGGCAGTGTTTACTAAAATAACAACAGTCTATACAGAAAAGTACGTCTTTAAGGTACAGTACATCAAATCTATTGGCAGTTTGACGACAGTATAAGATGTTAGCAGGTATCACTGTCGGCTAACAGCAGGACGCCAGGGCTGAAAGTGGCAACAACACACGCAGATTGGAAAGATTAATCATATTTGAGCCTTTTTTTTTAATTTGATGAGAAAAGAATGTTAGGTGACATCATTATGACATCAACAAATGTCAAAATATTGCTTATTCTACTTTTAAAAAATACTTTTTTCCCACCTCCCACAAGTTCACAAAATGTGTTTGCACCGCTCACCTGCGCAAACACATCTTTTACCTCTCCAATCTGTTGTGAGTCACATTCGGATGTTAATGTAGTCATTTTCTCTTGTTTCTTTTAATTTATTCACTTGTCTAGAATAATCAGAATATACTGTTGTCCTCTTTGTTGTCTCATTCGTTTAGTTGATTTGCTGAGTCAGTTTCAATGCGCTTATCTTTCTTACAAAAAAACATTTTTTATTCCTACTTTATTTGTATTTTTAAAACATCAATCAATGGATCCATTTATCCATCCTAAAATGTTTACAGATGCCAGATATTGCTGTCACCTGTAAAACTAAAATCGATAAAAAACTGGAAGCACACAACTTCTAACACTGAATTTCTTCAGTTCCTCTGTAGACTCAAAGTTTGCAAAGAATATATCTATAAAGAACAGATAAAAAGTTTAAAAACAGCACCTATAGCTTAACAAAAATAATAAAAAGTACACCTAGCTTAGTATTACTTTAAAATTACTCTGGAACAATGTCTGTGTCTCAAACTCTCGGCCCGTGGACCACTTTGGGTTCACAAAACCCCAAAATTTGGTCCACAACCACATGTTAGTAATGATTTACGCCTGAAGATTTTTAAAAAATATATATTTTCATTGTTTTGTCGTTAATTAAATAATTATGTTATGTAATATTTACATGTTGTAATATAGAGTATTTAAAGGATTAAATAAAAACAAACCCTACTTTGTCTACAATATTAAGGTCTTTTTTCTATAGATATTGTGACAGATGTGGCCCCCTGGTGTTATGATGTGGTTTGGTTTCGAGACCCCTGCTCTAGCCAGAATACAATGTTTACCCACATTTACCCATGATGAACAACAAACATCACTAATGACGCTCGTAGTATGTGTTTACACTGTCACGGCTGTTGTCAGACTGCCGCTGTGGTAGCTCAGCATTTCATAATTGGTCTGAAATATTTACGTTAAGGGGGAAAAAATATAAGAACAATGGGTTATATTATAAGTATATGAAAACCTGTCTTTTTAGATTTGAAGAGATTACATTTGAAGTGAAAAGATAAAATACTCTTTTGTTGACAGCACGTCAAAATAGAGTTGTCCTAATGATTGGATCTCAGCTGTAGTCTTCACACAACCAACCAGCACGCCGTCTGTTTTAATCACAGCCTCCTGTGGAATTAGTCAGGTGAAGGATGGACACGCTGGCATCTTTTGCCAGGATTTACTGGATTCATTCTGCTTTTGTCTACTATTTCTTTTTCTATTCTCCGCAGAGAGAAGAATATCGCCGTCCGGGGAGAGGATTTGAGCGGAGAGTGGAGGTGAGAGGACGAAGAGGAAGAGGAGAAGCCAGGGATGAGACACCGGCTGGAATAAAACCTCCAGTATGCCAAGGTCAGCAGAATTTCTATGAAATGAAACACGGCCAAACCCAGACGTGTACACACACACTCTCACACACACAAGTCGAAACTCAGGCAGAAACACAAGCAGGTGATTTCATAAACACACACATACTCACACACTTTCACAAAACAACACACTGTCCGCATTAGCTTTTCTCTGAAGACAACATGCTGAGAGTTGCTAAATCACTATATCGAGCCCACGCTCAGCTCCGATGCTTGTGCAACTCCAGACACAGACTTCACACCTCTGTATCTGTGTCACTGCATCGGCCTCTGATAATGAGTTTAATATTCCTGCTCTTTGATGGTTTCTGTACGCATTCAAGCATAGGTAACAATAATTACCAATATTTATGTCACAATAATGAGACAGCAGTGAGACCTGCTATGATGTATGGTTCGAAGACAGGTGATAAGTTGGTGTCAGAAATGAAGAGGCTGAGATTTTCACTGGCAGTGACCAGGATGGACAGAACGAGCAGATCAAAGACCTAATAGAAATGTATAACAATAATAATAATATGTGGCAATCATGCACATATGGATTTAGGTCAATGCTTTAGTTATGATGCAACCAAACCACAGACGCAACAACATTAGCTCAAAACTTTGGATGTAATCAAACAGGCTACAATTAGCTAAGGAATTACACAGTGGAAGTAAAGAGAAGTAGATGATATTGGCATCTACAGTACTTCAGGATAGCTCAAAACATCAAGTCAAATGACAAACATCAATACTACCAAAAAAAGCTAATGGTTAACAAAATGGGTACCTAATTGTTCTAATCATGGCTCCAAAATAAAAACTAAAAATAAAGATTTGCTTAAAAGCAAGCCAAGAATATGTCCAAGTGCTGGTCAAAGTGATCAATATTCAAGATTTAGCTTGACTCTAGTTTATGAGTTAGTTAGTTATTAGAAGGTGGCCTGGAAGTAGTAGAAAAATGGCCAAATGTACAAAAAACCTATTGAAAAAGAGAGGAATGGGTTGTTCTCACCTCCTGATTCTAAATGATGTGAATGTCCCCTTGTTTTGTCAAAATAACAGTGTTTTTAATAACCCTCAGTGGAATTTTGAAGCAACAGCTGTGCATGTGCT